TGCATTCAATGCGATCCGATTTAAGCTGTAATCAGTGTCCGTTTAAATGTCACAACTTTTACGCATACAATCAACACATGAATCTCCATAAAAACTTAACGGGTAATCATTTTGCCACCACTTATGTGCTTATTATTGAGATTATTGTAATGTTTTGTGTTTCAATTGAAGCCAAATTCAAACTAAAGTGTCATAAATGCGGAAAAGCATTCGCATCGATGGTATCCCTGAGGACTCACATCAATGTTGAACACATCCAGTGTGAGCGACATTCACTTGTATTGTCTGTTTTGTTAGAGTTATAATGATTTGTATGTTTGTGTCCTTCCGTAGCAAACCTGATAACACGAAATCAGTTGAATCGCTATGAATGCTATTATCCTAACTGTGAATATACTCACAAGTTGTGGTCAATTATCACTCGACATGTTAATAACCACTTGAGCCGTACGCCAAAGCGTCTCAAGAGCTATATATTCATGTGCGAGATATGCGGACAAACTTATATGCATCTCAAGTCAATGCGCCGACACTTCTCGTCCGTTCATACCTTATATGAGAAGCAATACTATAAGTGCGGTTCGATTGGCTGCCCATTCAAAACGGATGTGTTGGTGCAAATGTTTAGCCACAACAGTCAACACGAACCGTACACAATAGATACCATTACCTTCAACTCAGTACCAGATGATAGGAAGACCACCGCTGAGCTCATTGATAGCACCATTGCCAACGGACTCCATGGTAGTGATGATGTGCTCTCTATGGAAATGATTGACTCCTATTCCGGACGAATGGTGTCCTCAGAGTTTGCGATTCCCATGAATCCCGTGGCTAACGAACTGTCCACTGATAAGCCAATTGATTCAGTCATTGAAGTGATTGAAAGCGAGAGTCTAAGCACTCGACCCAACGCTAGCAACGGAGACAATGATTTTGTTTTCGGTATGAATTTTACTAATATTTAAGAAACAATTGATTTATTTATTAAATTTGGAAACACTTTTAGGCAGTAATCTATTGAACCAAAAGAATGTCACCAAATCTCATGAAATGTCACCAATAAATGGCGATTCATTTGCCTTTGTATTGAGGTCTATATTGTCCAAAAAGAGTGACCACAACACTAGTCATAGAAATTATTGCAATAAGTGTAACGTTATGTTGGCCTCCGAGACGGCCTACAACAACCATATGATGCGACGGCACTCAACCCATAGGTGTTTGCAGTGTTCGCTCGTATTTGAAGATTTTGAGCAACTGATCCAACACTCGCAGAATGAGTGCTCACAGATCTCCCGCATCTATATATGCGAACAATACAACTGTTTCTTTGAATGCACTGACAGTCTAGTGTTTGATGACCACAAACGCACACATTTGACAACTACTTGTCGTGATAACAGTAATGATATTGCGGTTAAGACTGAACCAATAGATAGTGACAAATGTGATGATATGTGCGGTGAAGAGCAAGGTCTAAATGTTAGGACATTAGTTGCGACGGACAGACAGACAGTTAGCGTTGAATCTCATTGTATTCGTGAAAGCGAGAGTCGAGTCGAACTTAATTCCGGTGACAATACAAATAAAACTGGTATTCATTTGTGGTATTTACGGTATTGTTATCATTAATTTGAAAACCATTTTGTTTATCACTTAAAGGGACGGATCTGTTGTCTAAAATTGATGTGAAGACCGAGAGCGCAGATGTGGACAATAGTAGCGATAAATTGGTAGAAAATGCAAATGTCATTCTCAAGCACTCGTATACCAAACGAAAACGTTTACCGACTGGACGGCGACGGGCCCGGGGGTGTAAGTGCC